AATATATTTAAAGTTAAATTAATTAAGAAATATTCTCCAAGTCTTCACAGCAACATTTGCCATACCTTGCTTGTGTAAAAACTCTCTTTCTATTTCTAAGTTAGATATTGTGAAAAAAATATAATCTATCTGCCATACAAAATGTTTTGCTTTTTTTGTTTTGAAAAAGTGTAGTAACTGTATATTTACTTTTTAATAACTTTTATGTGAAAATATACATTGCTGAAAATTGTTGAATGTTCCCATGGTCTCCATCTTCAGCCATGTTCTTCTCCCCCCAGTCCATGGTTATTCTTTCAACCCTCCCCTTTTTTGGCTTTCGGTCGGAAATTAAGTCAGTCATCCAGCAGAATAACTTGAAATAATCTGAAATGGGGGCTCCTTTCTCACTCTCTCTCCCTCCTCTTTTCCCTCCCCTGCTCCCATGCCCAGACCAGCTGATCTGCTTCCGCTCTCAATTGTATGTCCAGTGGACTGTGTGCTCCCAGCAAGGGGTGTGGAGTTCAGTCTTTGTTTCCAATATTCCACTGAACTCTCCCGCCCTCTCTCATTCTCTCTCTCTCTCTCTCTTTCTCTGTTTGTGTGTCAGTGGTGGATGGATTGTATTAGGTATTGGCAATCGGTATTGGGAATTGGCACGCTTAGAAGCCAAGTTCATAACTGTTGATTATTAACAGTTTTACGGCAATATTCGTTGCATGCATATATTTCTATCTGCACCAGTTGTGGATCAGAGGATCAGAGTTGTGGTTGCTGGCATGTGTGTGATGGTGGGTCTAAAGGGTCAGGCCTTGGTCATTGTACCCTGTCATGGCTGAGCGACACCAGCGCCTGCCTTCTGTTCACCCCAGGGACCCCTGTCTGACTGACAGCCCCTCCTGCACTCATCACCCGCATCCTTTATTAGTGGGCCGTAGAGGGGGTGCAACAAAAATAGTGTTTCCCTCTTTATTGTCTGTTATGCTGCTAAATATGTAATATGTATTGTCTTCACCAACTGGAGGGAGGGGGGGGGTGAAGATTCTGGTAAATTTAAGAACAACAAAACAGCATTACTTTGAGGTTGCGAAGGGGAAGTGAGTTATGGGTTTTGTCTTTCTCATTTGTTTCCCATGCAGTTGCTGAGGTCATGTTGACGTTAAAAAAAGAGAACAAGCAATTAGATTAATAGAAGAAGCTATAGGCGTGTTGTATAATTCTGTTGCATATAATGCCTATGATACAAATGACAAAGAAAAGCAGTTGACTCATATAGACCGACAAACTTCTGAAAAATTCTTAGGGTAAATCCACATAACTAATCAAAATTTAAATTAATGGGAATTCTGCTGTGGCCATCTGTGAACTGTGTCACCCCGGCATTTGATTTATTATATTTATTCTTTTTATAACAGTTTTATAAACGTGTGTAACAACTTTAGAAATGAGAAATCATTTCTAAAATGAAATCTTTTACATATTTCTTTCTACTTGCTCTTTGATTTATTACTAACCAATAACTTGGACACAGGTTTGTCAAGGGTGTGGGAGGCAGGAGTACAAAGGTCAGCCTTATAGAGTAGGCCAGGATCGAGAGAGGTGTGCCTCTAAAGAAGAGTAAGCTGCCAAGAGATTTGTACATCCTCTGGTAACTGTGATCCCTGTTTCTGATTGAATTAGTGGTAAAAGCTGGAACTCTTGTACAAAAGAGTTTCTACCAAGTGGTGACTCAGTGATGTTGTTCATAATGGGTCAACCCGGATGTTGGCTACCGAGCAATGTGTCACAGGAAGGCATCCGGCAGATGAATTTTACACTTGATGTGCCTGTTAATTTCAGCTTTCACGTCTTACTCTATGTTAATGTGTTACCAGAGATTTTTGTAAAATGCTGCCATCAGCTCACTCTGACCTTTGTCATTTCCGGCAGCCCAGTGCTGTTATCTAATCAGGGAAGCATCTGACTTTATGTAAAATACTAGAGAAAAAAAGATGATCTGTGATAGAAAAGAAATTTAGTAATAATATTTTAGTATTGTAGTAATTGCTTCTTTGTATTTAATATCTTTAAGCTTTTTGCTGACTTATAATGAGTATTTAAATGTCCCTCTTATGTTGAGAACTTTGCTTTAGCTTCGGTGTACAGTTTATACTGTACTTGTTCAAACTAAAAAATAACAATATAGTTCTTCTTTTCATTTTTAGTTTGTGGTGATTGCCAATATAAAGAGATCAATGCATTTTGAATGAGGTTTGTAAATGCAAGCATGAGGGTGAAAGTTCAGCTTTCAGAGTTCAGGTTCACCTCAAGTTGCTGGAAGTTGTAACAGGTCTAATAACAGTTTAGTTAACAATTGATCTTTGATCTTTCTCTTTGCCCTCTCTTTGATTAGAATTGCTGCTAGTTTTTTATTTCGCTGTTGACAAGCAAGATAAGAAATCTTGGTTCTTTGCTCTCAGAATCTAAAACATTTTGATTTCCACTCAGGTCTCAGATCTCATCATTTTGCTCTCTGGCCTCAGAACTCTGCTTTACTTTTATCAGATGCCACACCATGTGATACATTAGATGGCAAACTTTGAACTGTTGATGACAGCATTAACACAGTAAACTGTATGGATAACAGTTGTCCTACCTTCATATAACGTAACTGAATAACATACAGCAATTACAGTGTTCACCAAAAGACACACACACATGTGGGTTATGAGTTTGTAACACAAACCTCCAACAAAGGTTATTCACGTTACACAGTTTTAACATATCCCTTGTTCAGAGACTGAACAGTCTCTGCTGTAAAATTTCATTGCCTATTCCTTTTGCATGCATAATTTCCAATGACAATTAGTATTCTCTAATGCAACAGTATCTAAGTTATATATTTTATTAATGTATCACTACATTACTACTATTCCATCACAATTCATTTATCTAATTTGTGAATGTTTTGAGACTAAGAAATATTAACACTTGGTGTGAAAAGAAGATTGTGTGAACTGGAGTCTTTGTCGTGTTTTGTCTAGTCTGAAAGTACCTGCTGTAGGGTAAAGGTTGGAAATCAGCAGTCACCACAGCCTGAACTTGGCCACATGGTCAGTCACCCTCTGGGTGAACTGAGGTTAAACATACACTTCAGATGGAGACTTTTGAAGATTTAGCCAAAAAGCCTTGTAAAGACACAGATACTTGAATATACATATAATCCACTGATGAGTTTCTGAAACCAGGCTATCTATTTTTTTGGGTTTTGATGGAAACCTCACGCCTGGTTGTCACTGGTTCTTTAAATATCTGTCTGGGCACAGTCTCAATATAAAAATATTTGTTTTGTTAAATGTTAAAGTCAGATAATTACACAATAGGGTGCTTTGGTTATTTAGATGTTTTTTTCTTCTTGTTTGAAGTCTGCCAGCTGATTAAAAGTTTGTTTAAAAGATTGTTCCACTAGATAGAAAGTTGATATTGCAAGTGCCAATTAACACTACAAACTTAAATAACAGCAGTCATATGCTATTTTCATGTTTGTGAATATATACAGAGGTAGGCAAAAATTGTACTCAAGTAAAAGTACTGTTACTTCAGAATAATATTACTCAAGTAGAAGTAAAAAGTAGTCATTCAAATAATTACTTGAGTAAGAGTAAAAAAGTCATGGTGAAAAAAACTACTCAAGTACTGAGTAACTTTTGAGTAACATTGATTTATTTTTTAATGGGCATTCAATCAGCTAGACAAAATTACAGAGAGGATCCTATCCTATCAATAAAATAATAAAATAAAACAAATTAATTAAATACCTTAAATAAAATAATCTTTAGGTAAATTCAAGTAAAAATACAAGTACAAAGTGTACATAAAGATATAGATATACTGGATCATGGATGAACAGAGAACTGGATACTGGATAGCTAAAGCTTTATCTCTGATGAAAGTAACAAGCTCAGTATAGCCTAATGTAGCGGAGTAAGAGTACTGTTTCTTCTTCATAAAGCTACTCAAGTAAAAGTAAAAAGTATAGTGATTTAAAACTACTCCTAGAAGTATTTCCTTTTGAAAAACTTACTCAAGTAAATGTAACTCATTACTACCCACCACTGGACATATTACACAGTTTTGCATTGTAGGGACCAAATAACCAGTCAACTGCTAAAATAAATAGTAGTAGTAATAATAAGTAGTAATTTGTCAGTCAGGAAAATTAGTTGCAGTATTCCAGTAGAAGAAACAGACATAGCCTTTGAAGTAAACCAGAATTAGTTCCATTGGTTTTGGAGGAACCTGAAAACAGAACAACCTTGATCGCCATAATCTCAGTGCTCCTTGTTTGTTCCACCTCTTGATCTTTCTCCACCAAACTTCCCATCCCCTTTCCAGATGAGTCCCAGAAACTACTGATTTTAAAACAATAAAACTGCACCTTTGTGTCAATTTGTTACATCTGTTCCCTCATGGATTAGTTCAAAGTAAACTGCTGTTGTTACTTGCATCCATCGACTTACTAAAGACAGTAAATGAAGTGTTTTTAGCAAGTTAAGAGGGTCTCCAATGTGAACCCTCAGGGTGGGATTTCTCCCAGAGCTTCCAAATACCAGTTTGTGGAATAGAAGGAAAAACCTTATGTAAATCACCTCACAGTTGTGCACAACTTTACAAGGAAAGGGCGCCAAAAACATTACAAATCATTTGTTATTACGAGCAGAGAGAAGAATTTAGTTCATAATAAAATGGCCCCAGGACAAATTAAACTATGGCAGGCCCACACAGTCTTAGTAATTAATAGGAAACTCTTATTTTGTGCAGGCTACATAATGTATGCTAGAGATTTATTTTTTTTATTATTTTTTTTGCAGTGGTTGAATGCATGTAGGCTGATATTTGAAGTGTTGTTTTAGTTCTTAGGATGCTTTTGTGGTCAGGTGATGAGTAACATTAAGGCTCTTAACAGCCCTTAAAGACATGGTAATGATAGATATTTTACCAACAGTTTGATCACTAAACCGTTTCTTTTTCCTTTTTCACAGTGACAGTTATGCGCGTGTAAGAGCAGTGGTCATGACTCGGGATGACTCCAGCGGTGGGTGGCTCCCCCTAGGTGGTGGAGGTCTTAGCTGCGTTACTGTCTACAAGGTCAGCCGGGCAGACGACAGCGGCAGCACCCACAGTGGAAGCAGCGGAGGAAGCAGCAACAACATCAGTCCCTGTAGCCCTAGTCCCAGTCCCAGTCCTACCACTGTGGAGTTCCACATCAAGGGTGAAAGGCTCAAAGACAAACTGGTAAGGAAACAATCTGACCAATTTGTTGCAAGTGATGTGCATCCTTATTAGCTACACTGCAAACATCTCTTAGACATTATAGTTGGAACAGAGAAAATAAAGCATCGATACATACAGTATGTAAAAGTAACAGAAGATTGGGTTGTCCTGATGAAGTTTTGTCCCGGTTTTGTTACCTCTATACCTAGGGAATTCAACTGAATAATTATACTGTCAAGCACAATTAAAAGTGTATAAAAATAGCCTGCACCTTGCTCTCTTCACCTTACTTGCAAAATAACACACATTATATGGAAATGAGACTTTCTATATAATGTATATTCCCTCAAAGTTGTAAACAATAAACATCTGTTTGGTCACTAAAAGGTCGAGTACAGATCATTTTTAGTCACACACTAAAAGATCAGTCTGACCTGCATTTTCAGTTGTTCTGCCTCTTAATATGAACTCAGGACAGACAAACCACACGTATTACCTTCTCTAGGATGAAATCATCAAGAGGACCCGTGTTCCCAGATGCCTCTCTTTCTCTGCCTTACTCACACATATTCACACTCAAACAGGAAGTGGTTGTTTGGCTTTCCTCCATGGCGCAGGTGTCTGAAAATAGGAGCAAACTACGTGATGCTGTGATGCATGATGACATCATCAGGGAGAAGGGCAGATTACTCAGTAGAGGAGAATGTGGGATGAGGGATGTGGGAAACAAGCAACAGGCCTGAAATGAACCTAAAAGATGGAAAGGCTGATAAAAAAAGCACATTTTGTTCCATAATCATACAAATATTTGTTTTTATTTATTTTTAAATGAACATTACTTTTTGTGTAAAAAAATAGATGTGGCAATAAACTACGTCAGAATATAGTACTTAAATTCAGAAATATTCTTTTTTGTGTCTTGGAGGAATAGTGTTATACATCTACTTATTTTCACTGTGGCTGTGTCCGAAACCGACAACTCTGCACCCTACATAGTGTGCAACATAGGGGGCGTAGTGGTGCCAGAATGTTCTCCATAAATGGTGCTCAATGTATCCCTCAATTCACTGCAAAATCTATTGGACAACCTATGATCACTACCCAAAGCAATAGATCCCAGATTTCCCAGAAGTTGCAAGTTATTTCGGATTCATTTACATTACAAAGCATATAAACGTGTCATTACAGGCAAAATTGCATTACAGTTATGACCCACTTGTAATATGGTCATTATGTGTTGCTGATGTAAAGAAAGTTCTGTTCTGTGGTAATTAAAGTGTAAGTCTGGGTGTGTGTCAGATGTGTGTGTCAGATCTGTCTGGTATTTTCCACAGAACAGAGTAGACCACCATGATGCATAGTCTACTGGGCTTCCTGATGATTTAACATGAGAGGCAGCTTTTACACTATAGGCGTCTAATTCAGTTTATCTTCTTTTACTGAACACATTTAATGTGTGTTTGTATTTATGAAGTGTTTACATTTTCCGCGTTGCTATCCAGCGCTTGTGTGTTTGGCAAGGGACAGGGTGTGACGAGAATGTTCTCGTCCAGACAGGGTACAGCCGTGGTGCACAGACCCCGACAAGTGCTCTGCCTTGTGGTAATACACCCCTATCATCATTGTAGTCTACCCCTAGCCACCACAACAAACACCCAGCCATCTGTAGGTCTGTCAGGATGCCACCCAGTGCCAGGGTGTTGGCTTCCACTACGGTTCTATGAGTGTGTAAGAACCAGAAGAGGCAGAGGACACCTGGACAGACCCTGTTTAGTCTAAGATAACAGGAGTAAAAGATAATCCAGATATGACTGCATAATCACACTTCAACAGCATTTCCAAAGATGCTTTGTCAGTGATTTTAAAATAGACGTAACACGCAACCCTGTAGGACTCTCCAAAAGAAATGATACAAAGGTGACATCAATCTGAACAATATACAAGAGATGTTTGGGATGTCCCTCAATTTGCAGGGAAACTGGCAACATTTAGTTTGAATATCAAAAGAAAGAGACTTAAACCCAAAACAACAAAAGAAAGAGACCAAATGCTTTGTCATTGCGATGAATAATAGCTTTAGACTCAAATATAAAATATAAAAATTCCTAGTGCTATATAGTTAATACTATCGTTTGAAAAATAGGGGAGCCAAAAACAAAGCTGCAAACTGCAAATATTACTATCCATAGCTTTCAAAATAGCTGAAAGTTTAAATGAAGTGGTAAACCTCAAATATATGTCAAATATTTTATTGGAATAATACACTACCAACTCTGTTTATGTATATAGAATAATATTAATAATATATATTATTTTCTTTACCAATGACAGATCCCATACCTGAGATGAAACTAAAGCTGGGGAAAAACAGATAGAGGTGCAGCAGTTTTATAATCAACAGGACACAATGCGTAACGATAGAGGCAGTCGACTGTGGTATCAAAAAGTATGGGAGGATCTGGGGGGGTGGGAGAGTGATGTGGATATATTCAAAGAAGCAGGGAAAATAGGTGGAGCCAGAGAGACAGGAGACATTAGAAGAAAAGTAAAGAGGATCTGTCTATATACGCAGTGATGCGGCACAGAGTGTACTGGTGATGACTCAGCTGGCTCTCCTTATAGCTACCAATCACTCCTCTGAGCCCCCTCCCTTGTCTCATCTCTTCCTTTTGATCTCTCTCTTCTTGTCTTTCTGACTCTTAAAAACGACCGTTCTAATTGTTTAATGAATATTTACTACACTGGCCCCCTTAAAATTGTGACAGGTCGAGGTAGCTTGTGAATCTGGTGTAGACTCTTGGATCGAACCTCACAGCATCATTATTCTTTTTGAACCAATATACAACAGAGGCTTTAAACGATTAAGATAAGGATGTGCGGATAATGATCATGAAGTTTTAATTCCATAGCTAAAAACAGAAGTAGCTCTGGTCGTTTTTTCTCCACCTTGTGTCTTGTTTGCCTGTAATTTGCCCCTGTTTCTGCTCTGACGGTAGCTCTTCACTACTCTGTGCACGTTTCACCTCCCTCTGTCTGTCCTCTTCCTCCTCTAACATCTACTGCCTCTGCCTCGCTTTGTGTCAGCATGGCTCCTCCCTCCCTTTTCTCTGAGCTCAGTGTGGAATGTGGTGTTAAGTATCGTCCTTCCATGCAACTGTGATACTTCCTCCTCTGTTGGCCTTGCCGCACGCTCACCTTACCTGCTCCGGCTCCATTCAGTCTCGATCTACAATCTGCCCCAGAGGCACCAAGAAAATCCCCCACAGCTCACCCCATCTCACACTACCCCACCCACCAGAACTTTAGCCATACCAACAGAATAACGTCTACTCCTCTTTCCATCCACTTCACTGGGTTTAAATGGACTTAACCCTTGTGTCCCATTTTAGGGAAGTCAAAAGTACACAAGAACCTAGTGAAGCTTATCCTAATCGAAAAAAGCAGTCCTAATTTAGAGATTTAGAATGAAATATATCTCATTCATACACACAACCCACACCTGAGGATCCAAACACAGTACAAAAGGTCAGCTGTTAGACAGTTAATGGTCATGTAGCAGAATCACTTTTGACCATGGGTTCCATGGCTGATCCAGATCATTGTTTAAGGTAAAAGATAGTCCCTTACCCTCGGCCTAGTAACGCGATGGTGTTATAGCTACCACATAATAATGTCCCAAAACAACAAAGCTGTATCCCGGCTATTGTCCCTCCCTTGTCTTGCAGGGGAAACATTGCTATTGCAAACTTTACAATTATTTGCTTTTACATTTTATTTGCAATGTGAAGATGCAAAGCATAGCATTGAATTTTTCATCACACCAGCCTACAGTATGCTGATCACCATGTGCAGGCTTTCTCAAACTTTCACACCCTGTTAAGCCACCTCTGGTGTACGTTGGTAAAAACCTCAAAGACTGTAATGGCTGTCTCTCATTACATTTAATCTGCCTAGAGGAAGGCCAGGAGGTGGCCCAGTAGCCCTGATTAATAATAGGCTTTGGAAAGAGTCTCTCTCTGCCACACAGTTGGGCTGCTTTTCTCCAAAATATACTGTTCCTCTCTTTTGCTGCCACCACTGCTCTCCAACTTTACCATCAACTGAAATGAAAACCCCACCATTTGGAATGTGTTTTACAAATTACTTAAAAAGTATGTGAAATTACTGGGCTTATGTCTTTTTTTCATATATTTCAGATGAAGACCTCTCTCTTTTGACTCTCTCATCATGATGTGGTGGAATGATTGAACCTGACACATTTAAACAGCTTACAGAGATAAAAAGATGATGGATTTACACATTTGTTCATCCAGCCTTAAGTTACACTTTCCATTCTGCATATGAGCATATAGTAGATTGACAAGAGAAAAACGCAGCTTTCATTCTCTTCCCATTGGGAATTTTATTTCTAAAAAAAGTATTTATAATATAATTTAACTGTAATTATACGGTTCCTTTTAAATCAAATTTTCAATTTTAATTTGTTGCATATGTTTTCTCTGTTTATCTGACAGGTGGTTCTGGAGTGTGTCCTCCAGAAAGGCATTGTATACAACAAAGTCAACCCCATTTTCCACCATTGGAGAATCAACGATAAAAAGTTCGGACTGACCTTCCAGAGTCCTGCCGATGCCCGCGCCTTTGACCGTGGCATCCGTCGAGCCATTGAGGACATCAACCAAGGTTTGTATTCTTATAAAACAAAGTCAGTAGAATGTATCATTACTAAATATGAAGGAACCCATATCTTCTGTTTCCATATCAAAAAATCTGAGCAACCCTCATATTTCTTTTATTACCCTTGTTTATTTCACCCTCACACTATCAACAAAGCACCAGGGTTTTTTTTTTGCATTATTCTTTGTATGTTGGCCGCCAGCCAGCGTGTGTGTAAAATAATATGGGTGTATGTGTATGTCTGCAGCCTGTACTTCTGCATGTCCATTTTTTGTAATGGTTGATTTGGCATCTGCTCTGGTGGAGATATATAGGTTGATTAGAGTAGATGAATCACACCTCTCCCAGCTACTACCTGCTCAGTCACCCAAGCATGACCCCTCCTCCTTTATCTGATCAGTGCCAGCTGCTCAGATAAACCTTTTACTTCCTGTAGAAACAGGCAGGGTAGTGCTGGCAGAACTGGTGCTGTGCCCAGTTTATATCGTGGGTGATATAAGCAGTAAGAAAGAGAAAGTAAAAAAAATGGGCAGGAGTTGAGATATGAAGTAGCATAACCTGGTCATATTTCCTCTGAGTTGAGCTGTGTCTTCATCTCAAGCTACCATCAAACCTCCTTAATTTTCACTTAATCATAAAATATGTGGCAAGTCAGCACCATCGTTGTTCGCCATTTTTAAACAGATGTTTACTTGAGAAGTCCCTCCTCTTGAGCAATGTTTGCTCATCTTTTTCAGCTGCCGACTGCTTGGCAGCAAGCCTGTGACTGTATTTAGTTTATGGTAAGGTATTCTGAACAGTTCTAGTTTCGCTTACTTGAGCTCTGTTAAGAGATGCCATTTTGTGGCCTCCAGAGTCTAGACTGGAAGCTTATTGGTAATTTTAGTTTGGGGCCATTGTATTGAGCAGAGTTAGGAGTTTGGTTGAGTTAGGTCTGTGATTTACATTCAGTTCTGATGATCTTTACTCTTGTGTGCTCTGCAAGTGGAGGTTGCAAAGTCATCTAATTAGCAAGAGAAATGCCAGCTCAGCAATCTGCCACCCAGCACAGTGTTACTCAAGAAGCTGGCTGGTACGTTGGGGAGCCATAATCTCTATTACTCTCCAGACCTCTGAACCCAGGGAGCATAAAGAAAGTACAGTAGATCATATCATAAAGGCTTATCTCTGCTGGGTGTTAGTTGCTTCTTGGTCACAGCCTATTATCTGATGTCTGTACTTCCTGGTTGCAGACTTAAGCTTTTGTGCAGGCAAAAAACAGCAATTGTAATGTCAGACATGGCTTGTTTTTGCCAGTAGAACAGGAAACAATTAGTCCAAGGTAAATGTAAAGGCCATATTGAGAAGAGTTGGAACACTCCCTGAAAATGTAAGGACAACTCAGATTGAGTTTTTTCAAAGAAGGGTGCTTTATGGCTTACCTTTGTGGAAAATGTGGAATGGCAATTGGTTTCACAACAAGTGGTGATCTACAGCTGGGAGGTTCATTTAATGTCTCTGTGCTAGCATTTGTCTTGAGATCCAGTCTGTAATAACTGAGCAGGGTGAGGATGTACAAAGTAAGACATTTGAGGATAATTCTTAATATTAATATTTCTCAGCCTTCGCATCTAAACTGTTGGCTTACAGTTGACCTACAACCATAGCCTCTTGCAGTTGGTCAAGGCTTCAACTCACTGTGAATGCCAGCTACAGCAGGTCATAGTGAGCTTTGTCTCCTGGCTGCTGCTGTATCCTGCCCAGTACCTTTACCCTGATGTCCTCTCCTCCCTCTGTTCTCTCCTCTCTCCTGGCATCCTCTGCATTGTGCCAGTGTTGTGTAATGCTCAGGCAGGCAGGTTCTTCTGTATTCCTGTTGCATCGCTCTGCTGCTGGACTGCTGCGTGGGGAGAGGAGAGGCGGCGAGAGAGATAGAGAGAAAGGGAATATGTTTTTGCCCGTGTGTGTGCATGCCGTTTTGTGTTTGTGTGAGTGTGTATCACTATTGCAGTCTCTTGTTGTCATGGCAACGCTGGGCACATGGCTCAGGCAGCTTTGTGGCCCAGCCCTGCCAGAGTCGTGCTGCAAGGAAGCGTCTTCAGCCGCACTCATGAAGCAATGCAGACACAGACACACAAAGACACACACACACACACACACACACATACACATTTACACTAACCCGTGTGATTCTAAGAAAGATGACCGTCCTGACTGAGTGAGAAAAAACAAGGCCAAGCATGTCTTGTCTGTGGCCACGACAGCGTTGCTATTTATTGCCATAGTTCCTCTCTGAATGCAGACAGGCTGAGTGATGCCTCAGTGCTTCAAATTAGCCCTCACTGATGTTACTAATTAGGAAGTTCTTCATGGCCAAGGTACAAACTGTTTCCAGTTACCCCCCTTTATCTCGGTGGAAATGGTTTAATCCCTGTTTTGTTCAACATAGCCGGGACTTTAGCTTCAAACAATGTTCCTTTACCAGTGTTATGTGTTAATATGATCTTAGTGAAGTACAGGTTTACTTTTTTCCATCATATTTTCAATGGAAAGCCAGATTGACATAACTGCAGTCGTACCTAGGTCCTTCTAGGTAAAGCTGCAACTAATTACGCTTATAATTTAAACTACTCAACTAGTCTTTTACAGCCGTAGTACACGCAGTATTGTTATTAAAAACCTTGAGAATAATTTAAAATGTACTAATCTGTTTATTTTTACACTTCCTGGTCACCGAAAGTATTTAGTTGTGTGAACATCAACAAGGATTATTCGCCATCTCTGTATTTCTTGTTTGACTTTGTTTTATACTCAAATACAATGATAGATTTTTTTTGTCTGATTAGTCACATTACTCTTAAGTACTATGCATCTGATCCTGAATAAGTTTTCCTGAGATGCTAGTCTCCAGAAAAATATTTCGACACAGTACTTGTGACAGAATAGTTTTTCCTTCCTTACTTACGAACCCAAAGCTACAAATGATAAGACTTTATCAAATGTAATCCACCTCGTTTGAAAGTTACAAGTAATATGAAAAAATAGCACGTCCTGCAAATACACCACAAACGTTTGCCTCCTCTTAATACACCTGTCTTTCACTGCTTTAATCAAGACTGTAGCAGGACTAACTCTCATACATGTCAAGTCTCAATTCTCTGTTTCTGCATCCCCAGTTTGGATGTTTTCAATCATACCATTTGAACTTGCTGGTACATTATTCCTGGCAGTCATATTTTATTTACTTGTATGTGTCCCAGTGACACAATGCTGCTTTCATTTCTGCAATTCTGCACAGTGAGAGGAAAGCAGAAGTATTGCCCTGAGAAAAGTCACTGTTGTTCATGTGCCAGTGACAAATTGCATTTGGAAGTCAGTTGTTATTTTATGATAGAAATCTGAGTACAATCATAATATAACACGATATTAAACAATACTAGGGTCATCATTACAATTCTAGCAGTCAGGTTGACTTAATGTTTCATTCTGTTCTTCTATATTTCAGTAATAAAGTTTATTCATCCTTATACCGCTTCTCTGTCACCTGTAATAAGCTTTCAATAGGGCTATATGTAATAGATGATACTGAGTATTTGTCTCTGAAGGTTCTCAGTCATCAAGGTCATTTTATCCAGAGTAGTGAGACATAGGTAACTGGACTGTCATCAAAGAGGTTTCTTCAGTTCTGCCTCTAGGGTGAGAGGTGATACGTCTTCTAGAAACCATGTCAGTCCAGTTTCCTCTGTCTTCACTGACTGATTTTTAAGTATTGTTTTAACAATGTCATTCTGTTCACACTGTCTTAGTGTCATGTCTTAATCCACTTTCCTTCTGTCATCTCCCCTTACAGGATGTCGGCCATTTGGGGAAGGCGATACTCCTGATGATGGATTACCGGTGAGTAAAAAGGAAGAAAACGCATTTAGTATGACACAAACATGTGTTGTGTGTCTAGGTATGTGATTGGTGTTTGGATACATTTTTAGAAAGTAGTATAAGGGCTGACCACATGCTAAACCTTTTGACTTTTTTTACTTTAAGTAAAGTGGCTAAGATACAATCGGGAATTGGCTATTCAATGTGCCAGAGGAATTCACTCTTCTGTCCAACTTCTTAATGCAGGAGAGTGCAATGTAGTACTTCCCTTTTAGAATACAAGGAACTTTGAACATGAGACCTGAAAACGTGTTTAAGAGACACAGCAGGCATATATACGTAAAGTCTTTAGCTTACGGTATCATTACAATTTCAGATATGTAAATTTTCTTTTTCAGTTTGTATGTTTAGACTTTCCACTAGCACCAAAATGTACCTTACTGTGTCCTTAGCCTTGTTTTCATTGGCGATTGTTCAGTTTAAGAGATTTGGATGTTGAAACATGTACTGACGTCAAGTGCACTTTTATCTCCCAAACTTACTTGACATTTGAGGGAAGTCTGAGTGAATGTTCTTCAAGATGGAAGCAGGTCTTTGTTTGTATCTAGTTAGTGTTAGCACAGGAGGCTGTCAGAGAGCGCTTTGACTGGTTTAAATAAATGACTGAAATCAGTTATCTGATGTGGTCATTATGTGACCCAGTGATTGACCCCAGGCATGTACAGAGGATGCAAACCTTCCCAATACAATTTCCTTTTTTAAGAAGTTTTCTCTGGCGGCCAAAGCACCTGCAAATTTCAGAGGGAAACAATTAATTCCAAACTACAATTTAACTGCCTTTGCCAAATACTTGTTATGAGTCCATTGGTTGTAGCATCTAATGCACATTAGCTAGCATACAACAAGTAAAGCAGAGGATTGTGGGAGGCAGGTGTCTGCAGGCACGGATACAGTAGGTTCCTCTGGCAAAACTTCCTCTTTACAAGGAATCTGCCTGAACCAACAGGAAATCCAATTGCACCATTGTTGCTAGGCAGCAGGGTGGGGTGAAAGTGGGGGGAAGTGGAGGGTTGGAGTTGGGGTGTTCACTGGGTTCCGAGAGTGAGCCACCGAGGATGTCACCATGGTGATTTGGCATCCAAATGTTGCGGTCTGAGACCTGGGCTACAGAGAGAAAGAAGTGAGCCGGTGGCAAAGTGCTGCACACAGAGCATTAAAAAATACCACCACACAAGTTGCGACACTGTCTGTGCAGCTTTATGTTCTATATAAATTCACACTTCTGTTTCCATCTCTCTACCTCGCTGTCATACAGACCCTCTATAGTCTGACAATGCATTGCAGTGTTCATCGCACACTTGCAGGTCCTTGACAAGCTAACATTCCTCTTCTCATTCAAAAACAGAAACACTACATGTACATGCCATTTTTACCCTAATGAAAAAAAGATGGTTGCGCAACATCCTTCTCAGCTGTAATGACCCACTGACAGCAGTTATGCCGACCTGCCATAGTCTGTTGTTTCTCTTTTGTTGTGTTTTATGACACAGAAAAACATTTGCTTTTTGTTCATGCAGGAAGTTTCTCTTTATCAGTTGACGTTCCAGATGCTTTGTTGACCACTTGGGTTCTTATAGTCACCGGTCACAGTACCGGTAGGTAGATGACCAGTAATCGCCACAAGTCTTTGGTCGATCTTGATACCATGTTTTGTATAAAAAGTAAAAAACAAATATTCAGGTAGGCTATCTCTATCTATGATCTTCTAAAAGGTAATCCTCCGGAATAGTTTCCATGTTTTTTATTGCATGTTCATGTTTTCCAGAGTCCCTGGCCATGGTGTGTCACCATGTCCATGCTGAAAGATGAACCCATGGATAGACACTTGTTTTTAGGACTACTGATATACCTGCTGTTTCTGTACAGCATTTTTACCCTTATCTCCAAAGCTTGACAGTACATTTCCCACTCACAAAGTTCCATTAAGTATTTGGCCGACCAAGGTGTTTCTATAATAATTACATTATAATTATATTGTGGTATATTGGCAACTGTACCTTGCAGGTCTGTTGTCAAAACCTAAACCAATAGATTTGTGATGAACAATATTTGTTGGATCTGCTAGTGTTCGTTACCTTTGATGAAGAGTTTTCAGCTATTTCTATTCAAGTTAACAGACTTTAGGAGAAGGTATGGCAATTTTGGTGATTGGACCCCTGAACATCTTCTCTTCTGCATTACTCCAGTTATCTCACTGAGGGAGGTTTCTAGTTATGTGGGCCGACTACAGCCTTTCCTGGCCTGAGCCCCTGAGCCTTTAGAAGGTAGAAGTGCACGGATCCCTGATACTGGTGTGGAGCCAGGTTGCCCATGGCTCCCATCCCTTCATCACCGCCCCCTGTCTCCTCTTCTCTCCCTCACCCAGCCAGCCACATCTCTAGGGTCAGATCAGCTCCAGATTGGCCCCCACGCATACCTTTGAATGGTGGGGCTTAGGCAAGGGCTTTAAAAGGAAGCCCATGTCTGTTTCCCATTTGGCCCCCCGTCCTCATCCCCCACTCCTTTCTTTCTCTCTCTATCTCTCTCTCTCTCTCTCTCTCTCTTTTACACACACACATACACATACACACAGCTGTCATCTGGCTTTTTAAGTTCTGTGCTGCATTTCTCCAGCTGGAGCTGGTTTATGACATTCTCTCTGCAGACTCTTTGGCCTCTCTCTCTCTCTCTCTCTGTCTTGCACACACACACACACACACATACAAAGATACACAAAAGACAAAGTCATTTTTTCCTGTTCTGTTCTTTCTCTTCTCTCCTCCACTGTCTCCCGGTCCTCACATTTCCCTGCAGACACTATAGATGTGTGTTACACTACTTGGTATGCTTGAAGGCAAAGAGGGAGCAAAGACACACACACACAAATACACACACACGCACCATGTGTTAGCAGTCTGGGGAGGGAGAAGGAGAAAGGGGGGAGAGAGAGAGAGAGAGAAGTCAAAGGAAGCATCTCTTAGCAACCACAGGACAGTAATTACTGTAGCAGCAGCTGGGAGCAAACCAGATTTCCGCTGAGCGTTAAAGCACTGGCGTGGGCTACTTTACACACAGCACTGACTAACCAGAGCCAGCAGCCTCCTCCACATGCAGAGCAGAGAGAGGGTGGAGAAGAGAGGACGACTAGCCCAGCCTCGATGAGGTTGGGGTGAGTGTGGGAAAAAGAAAAGGGGACAACTAGTCAACGAGGACACAAGGTCTGAACATACATGGGTTACAAGTGTGACGATTTCTCTGTTCGTGTCCATCTGCGATTGTGATCGTCAGTGACATGACCTTGGAAATGCATTTCTTTGGAAACAATTCTGCAGATTTCACTGTGTTTGGTGCATGAACACACTGGAACGTGTGCAGATTGTTGTGTTGAAAAAACCCGGGGCAATAAATATCATCACAAGGCTTTTGATGTCATAACTGATTTTCTTCTTTCATCTCTCATCACTTCCACATGAGTCACTGAAGAAAATAGCCATTGCTTTTATTTTAGTGCCATCTGCAGAAATGGATTTTTGCTACTGGAATTGTGTTCAAATATTTTTTGGCTGTATTACTTTTCCATCTCTGGAATTCACTAAATGATATTTATAGACATGTCATCATCACTGATGCCAAATACAGGCTCCCCTCTCAGAATTTTAAGACAGTTTGGCCGGATCTGCATGGAATGTTGCATTTCTAATATTTTTTTTCGTCCGCTTGTTTTAAGGGCCACGTTTTTTGGATCCTCTTTTTGTAGATTTTGCTTTGGTTATAAATGTTTGTGGGAACACACACAAGGCTGATGGGAACTGAGAGTTCTTAACAGAAGGGCCTTGAGTCATCACTGCGCAGCATTCACTCAGCTAAGTGTAGGTGTGTTATGCCCCCTGGTGGTTATGATTGGACCACATGCAGTCCTCACACGTCGGTCTTGAACTGGACTGTTGTCTGAGTATACTTGACTTTAACTGTGTGTCACTTCATTTGAACAGAATATTTTGTCTGTGCTTTTGTTACATTTGTGAGGTCCAGTCGACTCGGTTTTTAGGCTTAACTAGATAAAAAATGTCAAGATTCATATAGAGTTGTTGAATAATCCTGTTTTTTATATGATAGTGATAGAGTTCGTTTTTAAATTATGTCAGGCCCCTACAGTATTTATAGGCTATGGGTTTGATACTGCTGAGAGTGATTCTTCAAAATATATCAGAAATCCAAGACACGGTATTAGATTCCATGTAAACGTTTATACAACTTTGCCAGATCAACTCTCTGCTATTCTTGATATAAGCTTCACTTGGAGAACTGATCATTGACAAAAATGGAACTGTTTCTACTTTTCTTTAATATTTCTGCAGGTTTGTGATGAGCCTCCTCCTATCTGTACCCCCATGAAAGAGCCATTCTCCCCCCTTAACAAGGTTGTCTCCACCGAGCCGTTCAGGGGCTGCTACGTCCGCGCACAGCCCTTCGATGAGTTTCCCTCCAACAATCGGCGCTACCTGCCTCCACAGGTTTGTTAGTCTTAATACTGGCAAAATTAAATCCTTGCACTAAATAAAGGCAATGTAACCGATTTCTTTGTCTCTGTAGGTCTCCTTCAAGCCAACACGTCATGTCAGTTTTAACATGGACGATGAGGAGATCGTCCGCATCAACCCACGTAAAGACGTGCTCATCCGTCGCTATGAGGACTACCGCCACCCTGGACAGGATTTTCCCACCACCTTTCACAAACTGGACAGTAAGAAGTGTGAGTACCCCTTCCCTGATGGCACTGGTGGGGATCCCCACACCGGCCCTGGGACTTTGGGACTAGGATTGGGCAAGGACACGGCCATTAAAACTCAGCCCTCGCCCTTGTTGAAGTCCAAGAAGGGCCGGCGGCGAAGAGAGGATGGTGAGCGATCACGCTGCATTTACTGCCGAGAGATGTTTAACCACGAAGACAACTGGCGGGGGCAGTGCCAAGATGCCCCCGACCCTATCAAGCAGTGCATCTACAAAGTCAGCTGCATGCTCTGTGCCGAGAGCATGCTGTACCACTGCATGTCTGACTCTGAGGGTGACTTCTCAGACCCTTGCTCGTGTGACACATCCGACGAGCAGTTCTGCCTGCGCTGGCTGGCCCTAGTGGCGCTCTCCTTCATTGCTCCCTGTATGTGCTGCTACCTGCCCCTACGCGCCTGCCACCACTGTGGCGAGGCCTGCCGCTGCTGTGGGGGCAAGCACAAAGCAGCTGGGTGACCCATCAGCAGGCTCTGGGACACCCTCAAAGCAAGCCAAGTGGATAAAAGCTGAAAAATTTAAAATGCCGGCATCCTTTTTTCATTCCCTTCTCAGACGGGGTGACGTCTTAATCCCCAGCTCTGAGGGCTTTTGGAGATTTCAGTTTGTGTTTGTCGCCGACAAGCAGCGGTGGAGGACAAACCTTATGCTTTGTAGGGGCTCTTAGCATCAAGCTAAGATCAGAAGCTTAATCTTTGGCGGAGGAGTAAAAGTCATGGAGATTAATAGACTTGGAGATGTTACTAAATACACCTGTAAACACACATTCATTGACAGAGCCAGGCCACAAACGTCAGAACTCTATATAAACAAGTGTAACTTTATGAAGGAAAATGTCTTTTTGTACAGAGAGCAGCAAAACATGGTGACAAAAAAAAGAAAACAACTCTTCTTTATTCAGAAAAAATACTTGCTGTTTGAGTATATGCTATAAAGGGATATGTTCTTGCTTTTTTGTGAATCTGCAGTTGGGTAACAGTGGCCTTTTCTTTTCATGGCTTAAGCATTTTCTGACAATGTAATTACTATTCAGAGAAAATTGCACTAAAAATGGTAATTTCCTCTCAAAGTAACCCTTTTCAAATTCTTTGGGTACTTTAGCCACCGTACTTAGTGTAATTTTAACCTTTGAGAGATGCTGTTGTGGTGGTTGTATGGCCAATTATCTTTGTTTTCTTTTCCATCACATGTTGCTTAGAAAAAAAGTACAACAGGCTAAAAATATTGCCTTCCCCAAGGTTATAAGGACCGTTTGATTGCATTCCTAAATAAAGGGATCGATTCCATGATTAGAAGGGAAAAATGGTAGTGACTTTACCATGCTAAATTCCGCAAAATAGTTTATGCACATCATTAAAAAAATACATTTAGACCCTTGGAACCCATTTAAAATGGAAAGAGATATTTCAGTTTCCCCTGTAAACCTTACTTTTAGTCCATTTATTTACTGCTCTAGTAAAATTGCTCTTCTGTTCCACTTAAGCTTTTTGTTCCTTCTCGTTTGATGGTAATTATTTTTAAAACAAAAGGCTGAAATGTTGCTCAACCAGCAAGTTTTGTTTTGGTGAGTACAGCGGATACAGTGCTCCTTAATTTAATTAAAGAAAGAAATGTCGAGGCACTTAAATAAGGTTATTCTGTCAATTTTGGACTTGTCTGTATATAAAAAAAAATATATCCCAAACAAACATCCAATTTGGCACAGAAGTGTAAAACCCTCTTATTAAAGCACTGCTCTCCAAGCTTTGGTTGCAGCACCCTCTTCAAATGTCCACGTCTGTCCCTGGAGTTGTTATTTTATTATTGTTTTCTTTTCTTTTTTCATCCCATATGCAGTGGAAAAGTAGTATTTTCCTTCCATGTGTCTTTATCTAACAGGCCGTGAATGAATTGTGTGTATGGGTATAGAAATACTGAGTATCTCATGTGTGTCTGCACATTGAACTTCATATGCACTGGTGATCTGATGTCATAACGTCACCACTGACTGTGTAAATAAGGTAAAATTACTGATCAACAGTCTGTTTCGTGTCTTTAACTGAAGCCCCCAAAATGAACAGACCTAAAATCTAATTTTGTCATAATCCACCTCTATCTGCCAAAAGTTCTCTAGTAACATAAAAAACAATAGAAAATTAATCTTCTTCATCATTAACCTTACTTTACACATGGTTCGTGCAAAAAAGAAAATATGATTTAGCCTTATTTTGAGCATCAGAGGTAGTGGATGATTTTGCTAGTTTTAGACAAAATAAGGTTAGCTCCAGTCTTTATGCTAAGCTAGGATACACAGATGTAGTTGTGGCTTCATATTCACAACGCAGAATGAAGGTGTCATTATATTTTTAAATATAAGCCTTAGAAGTACAAAAAATACACTTTGTTCTGTTGTCTAAGGATTAATCACCTAAGGCTTATTTCAACATGTAGCTCAAATGGTAAAAGTCAAAAGCCAGAGTTCTGATAAAGAGTAATATATAGTTGTTGTGCTGGTTGTAAACACAGCCCAGAAGCCTTTAATAATGCTCAGAATGTCTTTTCAAGGGCAGTGCAACATTCCTAAACAGACACCATTGTGTGTTTTCTCAGTAAGGCGACAACTAGAATCAAACTAGACCTAATGTCTGTGCTTTTCCATTCTGTAAAGTCTGAGTGTTGAGGCAGTGTCACATTGAGGCCTAAGTGTCATTTGGGGTGGCTGTAATTAAGGTAATTACTAACTACTGAAATCCCCAATTAAGGTTTCTTAGAGGTGAGCCTTCAGTGTGGAAAATGAAAACCAAAAAAATGATGGAAAAGCAAAATGTTTCATAACAATACTGAGCCAGGCATAGTTAGTGAACTCGAATGTTGCTTTGCATTTGTAATGATCTTTTAAGCACAATTAGAGGAAAAAAGTATTGTTTACTTACCGGCTTTAGTCCTTCTAATTTGCTGCCGTAATAACCAGCAGTTTTGTTGGACCACATGTTCTCTTTTTTAATACATTTTGACAACATTGATGGACTTCCAACAACTGAGCTAAATGTTGAAAGTGGCCATAGTTCAGTGTGAACCAAATTAACAGCACACTCTTGCCACATTAGCTAAAAATTCAACAGAACTCCAAGCCTCGACGTGTTTGAAATCAGTGCCAACTCTGACACTCCTAACTACTGATAAACAGACGATGTGAACATACATCTCTTCTCACCCCCTGTCACTCCTGGGTTAATAATATGTACATATTTTGGCAGGAAAAGCCATCTGTTTTCCTAGTTCCACCCTGACCAATGCTACTTTTTTACTTTCTATGCAAACTTTCTAACGTGGGAAACACATTGACCTCTCTGCAGACTGAGTCAGTGACGGGACAGGACACTTTAATGCTATAGAGTTAGAAAAAATAAAAATACAAAAAAAAAAAAACCTCTGGTACCAAACTCCAAACACCTGTAAATACTTAACACTATATTTAAATACTGATAATAATCCCAGCTTTTTTTGTTTTGTTTGTTTTCGAAAATTTTAAAGATAGAATTGTATTTATCGTGGCTGTCAGAAACATATACTGTAGCTCGGATTGACAGCATTGTGTACATAGATCACCTTTTAGTATTGTTTCACATTGAAAAGTAGAGGGCGCCGCGATGGAAAATGACTATGAGGCTTTTAATAGAGTTTCTCTCTAGTTTTGTACGGTGGGAAGGAGGGGTAGTGCTAACACGGTACAGTTGTGTCAGTCCACTTGTTTCAAAAAGTTTGATATATATATAAATAAATAAATATATATGTATATTTACATACATACGTATAAAGCTGCTAGATACAATCACTAATGTTATTGTTGACGGAGAAAAATCAGCTATGAACGACTGTTAAAACCCTGAAAATCTCTCGTCGTCTCGTGACCATGACGGTGGATTTTTGTCATGTGTGACTGTGGTTCTTTGTGACAGTGGCCACGAATGTGTGTGTGTGTGTGTGTGTGTGTGTGTGTGATTATTGATACAGTGGTGTGCAAAGGTCTTACGCTGCAACTTGGTTTTAAGTTTCACTCATTTTCATCTCTCACTTTTTTTGTTCAAATAGAAACAGATTTTTTTTTTGAAGAAGTAAACCAAATTTACTTAAAAAAAATAAAAATCTGTTAACAGTTTCTCACAATAACACAATTTAAAGAAAATAAATTCTAAGCCATTTTGTAAAAAGATGTATAAGCTAGCCAGATTCTTGAAGATAACCCCTTCAGGCCCGCAATGGTATTGCACCCGCGGTATGCATCCCTCTTAAAAAAAAAAAAAAAACGTGCCACCTTTTAGTTTTTTGTTGTTGTTTTTTTTTTTTTACTCAAATTATAGCTATTCCTAAAAACAACAACCGTGTTCTAAGACTTTCGCACACTTTCTGTGTCCCTGTGTGCCTACAAGTGTGTCTGTGTGCGTAAGTATGTGTGTGTGTGAGGTTGGTGTGTAACCAAATGTTTGGCTGGTTGCCATATTCTACCACATGTGAATTGGATTTTTCCCTGCATTATTGCGAGCTGAACCTAGGTTTGATGAACCCGATTAAAACTTGCTGGCTGAGAAGCAAAAATGTAGGATGTGCATTTATACAAATTAAAAGATTTTTTTTTAAAGAAATCTTTAAAAAGTGTAGAGAATGCTGAAAATAACACTCGTCATTCTGCATTAACCAGCACAGTGCAACTTCCTGTCATGTACTGTATTATATATGCAACATGTGTCTGTCCGCTTTAATATATATCTATATTTTTTGAACCTGCATTATAAAAAGACTTCAGTTTTAACCACTTTGCTGCTAGTCTTTTATCCTCTTTCAGTCTTGGAAATTGTGCATAACTTTGGGAATGCATACAAGTGTACATTCTTGACATTGTGTAGACGAAAAGAAAAGAAAAAAAAAAGCTATATGACGCTGTATCTCTTCAGTGTGTTCATTTTTAAAAAACAGTTATTTTTCACAGCAGTTGAAGTGGGTTCTGTTCCGGTTTCTCCGATGCTTTGGTGCACTGATGATGACTCTATGTAAGCTTTTTTTCATCTTACGGCGCTCGATGTTAACATTTATGTGATTAGTTCTAAAATAGTGGAAAACATTTGTGTTTTGAAACTTGCAGTATAAATGGTACTACTCTTTAACTATTCTGTAAAACACTGCCTGTTTTTACTTTCTCTTTTCTTTTTGTCCTTCCTCGTGCATATTTTCTCTCCTCTGCATCTTTTTCTCCCCTCCCTTCTTAGTGCCATCGGCTTTCACATCCTGACAACCTCAAAAAAGTGCCTCACGTCCATCCTAGTTTCCATCTTTACCAGTTAACATCCTATCGTTCCGGTTCTATTGGTTTCTACAAACATCTAGGTATTTCTTCTGGTTTGAGGATACCAAGTATATGATGTAAAATTTATAGTCCCAATAACATGTCATAGTTGTATTTTCTTCATACAGATGTAGCTCATTACTTTTCATAAATATATAATGTAAATATGCATACATATGTTTGTAACTGTTTTTATGTTACATCATACACTTGTAATTTGACATATCAAATAACATTATCATAATAAAATGGTGAGTTTTAATACCTGGCTCTGTGTTCTCCTCTGTAACTTGTAAATCTCTGGATGTAAAGTGTTCTCCCAAAAAATATATGTCATGAATTACAATGGAAATCTTTTATTTCAACTTCAGTTTCAATTTACTCAGTTTACTTAGTGGGAAACCTGGACCTGTTTAGTTGAACACAACGCTGACATACTCGCAGGAGTTGAAGAAAGCCACAGAGTACGTCTTCAAAAGTCCAGAGACTTAGTTGTCATCCACCACTCGCAAGTAAACATGATGGTTTCCAAGGTTTAGGAACCTATGACTCTCTGTGGTTACTTCGTCGTCTCCAATAAATTTTGTTAAGCAAGTCTTGTTCCATCGTACGCCATTAAAACTCACAAACTAGATCACACAGGAGTCACACAGCGCTGAGCACAAAAGACTTTTAGAAAAATGAGCTCTTTCTACTGCTTCAAGTGATCTTAGTTTCTGACCAAACGCTTATTCTCCTTTTTTGAAGTACTTGCAAGCTAATAAAAGTACTAAAACTTAACCTGTAATGCATGATACTTGTCAGATAAAAATAAAAACACCTGACTTTTATTGTAAAGATAAATACCCTGTTTTATGTGAAGGATGTTTGGCGTAAAAAACCTGCACAGGTTTAACCAGAACTGTGATGGATAAAAGAGACACACAGTCTGTTCTGCTCTGATCAATAATTCACTCTTGGCATAAATTATGCATCGGAAATCAAAACGGCAAATATTCTCTGGTTCCAGCTCCTCAGACAAGGTGATGATTCGCTGCTCTCCTTTTTATTAAATAATCTAAGAGTCCAAAACTAAAAAAAAGGTGTAAAAAATCATATTAGATATTGAACTGAAGAAAAGCTACAAGTAAAAACCAACTTCAGTCCACAATTAGGCAGAAGAGACTCAACTGACTCAACAATCAAGGACTTGGCATCGTAACAAAGAGAAAAAGACTTCCTTTGAAAACTGATCCAAATATGTCACAGAACCAGACTCAGAGATGTACAAACATCTGCTTTGACTGGTTTAAGTGTAAAATTAGAAGAAGAAAACATCGACGGAAGGGTGAGAAAATTAAAAGGTCAAGAGTTTAATGTATAACACTAGTAATTACAGGGTTGATGAAAGGAGCGGCTGATCTTGGGAAAACGAACAACAACAAAGGTACTTTATCAAGTTTTTTTCCCACAATGCTGACAGTCATTAGTGCTTGTTTCTTCTTGACTCTTTATGAAACTGTAATTAAATTATTTATAGTAATAACACGCACCAACATAGATGTATTTTTAATTGAATAAAAAACCCATTCATAACGTAAACTTAAAATAGATTTTGTTTTGTTAGTTTGTGCCGTTATGACAGTGAGCACCTCCTCATCCTGGGAGCTGTACTCCTCCAACAACATGGTGAAGCACACTATTTTACAAATCAGTGCATTTTCCCCATAACTGTGACACAAAGAAAATATTGAGATGGATTTTCATCTACTTTGCTGTCACCACAACAGCTATGTGCCCCTCAGGTTAGGGCGGCCCCCACTTTGGGAACCACTAATGCAATTAAACATCGAGAAGACAAACAATTATACACAACTCGCTACAAACAGTACTGCCATATTCGTATATAGTCTCATTGCATGGATTTTAATTTAAAACCATGTCTGGAATTTATATTTATATATCTAAATGATAGAGCTGTCATCTCTGTCTACTCTTAATTACAGGTCTATTTGTAACGTAAAAAGTAATCAAAGTTATAAGGGTTTTTTTTCTCTGTTGTAAAGAAAACATTTGCGAGATTTTAATTTGAGTCTAAACGGCGGTATTTTAGATGCGGAACGAATAGTGAGGAACCATTTTCGATGGTCTCATGTTTCGTTCCGGTCCGTTTATGTCGTCGTAAAGCAATGGAAGCACTATGAATGAATTGATGCTACGTCCTATGTATTTACTGGCATTATTATGAACGCGTCAGAAGTATGGTGTAAGTAGAGGGGGGGAAAGACTTCACTGACTCAACGATGGAGTGCGATATTCTGGATTCGTTGGAGCAACTGGGGTGAGATACTGAACTGTTAGCATGCTAACGTTAGCTTCTATACACACATGCGTGTGAGGTCTTAGTATTTACAATTTCTAAAATCAAGCTTAACGAACATGTCTTGGACAATTGTGAAAATAAGTTCAACACATGTTATAAGGGATATTACTAACTTTTTCAGTTATGACGGCCCTCTCCTGGAAGAGAAAGCCCTGCTCAGAGCCGCTGAAGGAGGCCTGTCCTCCCAGGAGTATGTGGATCTCTGTCGGTGGCTGGTGACGAGGTTAAAACCACTGTGTGACCTGGAGGAGAGCATCACATCCGGTCCAGGTAGACCTGTCACCAATTTCACTTCCTCTTTGACAGGGCACACGTGTTCATAAGGAACTTGATTTACAAAAAAAAAAAAAAAAAAAAGGCATAACGTCCAGACAACAAACCCCACGGAGTTCCCATTAACTACCAGAACCACAGATCAAAAGAACCCTGACCTGCAGTAAAACATCAGGGAAGCAATCGATCCGTCGTGCTCCAGTTTATTTGATCTCCTCTTGAATGACCTACATTGAGCTTTGACTGGTCTATGATTACACACGTGAAACATACATCAGTGCATATTTCACGTGACACATGATGCACTTTCCTCATGTGTGTTCTACTGAAGCGTCTGCAGACGTCATCAGCTCCATTTAGAGGCCAGAACCTGTCGGAAGGCTGTAATCGTAGTAGAAATAAAGTTGTATTTTAGATATCTGCCTAAAAGTTCTTTTCTTTGCAGATGACGTGGACAGTCTTCAGCTAGAGATGAGTGGTCTGATGAAAGAGCTGCACTGTCCGTACGAAGAGGAGGTTTCAGGTTTGCTCAAGGGTGCCACGAGAAACACCAACGATCACCTTAAGTTTGTGTGTACGTCAGCGCTTCCCATTTTTATCATTTTGACAGTTTTTGACTGCGAGAAATCCCAACATTTTCACTCTGCTTTTTTCACTTTTTAGTGTTTCTCAGCTCGGAGCTCCAGGCGGCTCAGCTCCAGAGGAGCAGACGAGGCACTGACAAACATCAAGATAAGAATCCAGCGTTCCAGGAGCTGCTTGCGATCTGTGAAACACTGGAGCTGTCGGAACCGAGAGGATCAGACGCAGCAGAAGTCTTCGATCAAATACAGACCAAGGTGGGAGCAATGAGCTGATTGAAAACAAAAAGCCTGACTTTTGTGCTTACTGCAAAGTGTGGCATTACAGATTGGTTAACAGTGGTCAACGTTGTAGAATTATTCTTTGTTTTGAATGCGTTTTCTTGGTGTAACTGTATTAACTGAAACTGTATTCCAGTTGAAAAAAAAAACATTTCTTGCAGAAATAAATGAACCCGTGTGTCACTGCAGGTGGATAAAGTGCTCAAAGATCTTCCAGGTGGTTTTGTGGGAAACCCAGTGTTAAAGAAATCCCTCAACAGTGAACAGTGGGTAAGTGAAGAGGTTTGGTGTCCTCCAACAAAAACAAAAAAAACAGTGAAGTCACAGGCTTTGTGATGTCTATAAACATGATCAAAATGTCACCATAAAATGAGTAAAACAAAAAAAACAAAAAAAAAGTATGAAAAGGTTTAAAGGGTTAGAATAAGAAACAGGACCAACCAGCAACTCCATAAAAAACATAGAGAAAACACACGAAACAACACAGAAACCAAGGTCAGAGATGACGTTCACTCGCTGCTGTCTGGAAACCAAACAAGCTGAGAGGCAGCAGCTGCATTTATAACCTTCAGGCGACTCGTCTTCATCAGCTGGGACAGAGACGCAGGTGGAGCTGATGTTTCCTCAGCTGCAGCTCGTCATCGTCAGCAGCAACAGGTCAGTGAAAGAGACTGATGTGTTAAATCACTGCCATCATTGTGAAACCATCAGAAATGCTCTTTGTTGATTTGTGGTCAGGTTTTATTCTTAATTTAAGTCAAAGTAATTTTTTTTTACAACTAGGAACATGTATTTAATTCACATAATTTACATATGTGACAACATACTATTTTCCTTTTCTGGATTAACTACATTCATCGGTTAAAAACTTTAAAATAAATAAAATTGCAACTCCAAATGGATCCGGCTTTGACCAAGTCCTACCATGAGGCTGCAATGATTGCACAAAAAAGTGACCAGTATTTGACAAATATTTATTTGTGGTGGTAAATATTTCCTACACTTGTAATTATCCCATACTTACATTTTTTGTTTAATAGATACAGTTTATACAGTTTGTACAGTGACCAGAATTAATTAAAGCTGATTTTTACATCCAATTTACAAGTTTACAAACAGCTGTCAATGGACTGAAGTCACACCTCAACAAAAAACATTTCAGTCTTCACTCAATAAGACTTAGTGTGTTTGCACAACCAACAAAAATATCAAGCAAACAAAAGCAAAACACTGGGTTTGAAGGAAGTAACTTCTTCAGATGCAGATTGTGATTTCTCTTCCTCCAGTTTAAGAAAAAACAATCTGACATTTTATTCAATATTTGACCTATTACTGAAAATATTACACATTTCTTCAATATTCATTTCATTTTTTGCTGCACATTCTCAGACACAGTAGTTAAAATGACTGATTTGATTTGACATAAAGTAATAAAATACTTACAAAAATTAATTTACCCCCCACCCCTCAAAACTAAAGAAAAAAGAAATAATTCTCTTTCTTCATTTGTCAGCTTTAGATTCATCAAACCTGCATTCTTCACTTCTGTCAACTTCCAGCAGGGGGTGTGTTACAGGGAAATAAAGCCTTTGGCGATCTTTAAGTGCAGGAAACTTCATTTAACTACATTACCTGTTCTCTTGGCTCCTTAAATCACAATCTGTGTTCACTTCACTAAAATAAAATAAAAAAAATCAGAAATCTGAACTTCCTTCCACAAAAATGTTTCCTTAGGCCGAAGACAAATCAACCAACTGTAGATTTATCTTCAATGCAGCATGTCAATGAAAAAGACTGATGTCAGTCCTTTCAACAAAAAAAAAAAACAACAACACAATTTTACTTTATGAGCATCAAACAGTCAGGAGTCCTGATTAATTACAGCAAATAAAAACCAAGCACTTGGGCTACGAAAATGAAAAAGAACTGATATAGCGAAGGAGGAACCGGGTTTTCACGTGACCTGGAAAACCTGCAATATTAATGACCAATTCTCCAGCAACAAAACATCGAAAATGAAGAGAAAATAATAAAGTTCTCCTAAAATGAAAACGGATAAAAATTTACCTGCGTTTGTCCGGTGGCCAATATTTAGCTGATGAATTTTGTTTTAAACTTCAGAGGAACTTTTCAAACGTTGTCCAGGTGGTAGCACCTACAGACAAATCCAGCCACAGTCCAGTTGGAGATTGGCGCCAGGAATTTAAAGTAATCTAAGGACAACTGTAAAAAGAACATTTTTCCAGTTTTGGAGGACGGAGCATCAGAATTTAATTGAGAAAGTCTAGGGTAATACTACATTGTTTCATTTTATTTATGTGATATTTTGTTCGACTGGTGACATGTCTTTGGTTTTTCTTGTCAGACCAAGCTGCGCAGCATCAACTCCATCCTGTCTTCAGAGTACGAGTGTCGCCGCAGGATGTTGATCAAACGTCTGGATGTGACCATTCAGTCGTTCGGTTGGTCAGACAGAGCCAAGGTACGTGAACGAGACCGTCGTCGACCAGTTAGCACTCACTGACAACGATTAGCATCAGTCGGTTTGCTTCTTCATTCATCGGACAATGTTTTATAAACCTGTTTTTTTTTTTTATCCTTGTCGGCTCAGTTTTAAAACGCTGAGCAACAGGTGCTAAGATGTGCTGTTCCTGTGTAAAAACCCAACAGTCGCTAAAATATAGATGATTATCATGTAACTATAGAGTACACATTTCTCAAAACACTTCACACAATTACAGTTTTTAAACTGATTAACTGATTAAATACAGTGGGCTGTTGTCATAAATAATCCTGATTGTAATTAATCTTGATTAATCTGTATACTGCTGGGACAAAAGACAAAAGTGACTAATCCAAGTATGGAATTATTAATGCGGAAAAATACTGACTCTGTGTGTGTGTGTGTGTGTGTGTGTGTGTGTGTGTGTGTGTGTGTGTGTGTGTGTGTGTGCGTGTGTGTGAAGGACAACTGTAAAAAGAACATTTTTCCAGTTTTGGAGGACGGAGCATCAGAATTTAATTGAGAAAGTCTAGGGTAATACTACATTGTTTCATGTTATTTACGTGATATTTTGTTCGACTGGTGACATGTCTTTGGTTTTTCTTGTCAGACCAAGCTGCGCAGCATCAACTCCATCCTGTCTTCAGAGTACGAGTGTCGCCGCAGGATGTTGATCAAACGTCTGGATGTGACCATTCAGTCGTTCGGTTGGTCAGACAGAGCCAAGGTACGTGAACGAGACCGTCGTCGACCAGTTAGCACTCACTGACAACGATTAGCATCAGTCGGTTTGCTTCTTCATTCATCGGACAATTTTTATAAACCTGTTTTTTTTTTTTATCCTTGTCGGCTCAGTTTTAAAACGCTGAGCAACAGGTGCTAAGATGTGCTGTTCCTGTGTAAAAACCCAACAGTCGCTAAAATATAGATGATTATCATGTAACTATAGAGTACACATTTCTCAAAACACTTCACACAATTACAGTTTTTAAACTGATTAACTGATTAAATACAGTGGGCTGTTGTCATAAATAATCCTGATTGTAATTAATCTTGATTAATCTGTATACTGCTGGGACAAAAGACAAAAGTGACTAATCCAAGTATGGAATTATTAATGCGGAAAAATACTGACTCTGTGTGTGTGTGTGTGTGTGTGTGTGTGTGTGTGTGTGTGTGTGTGTGTGTGTGTGGTTTCTCAGGTGAAGGTGGACAGCATGGCGGGAGCCTACCAGCCCAGGAGACATTCTCTGAAGCCACAGTCCCAGGTGGACATGGCCGAGCTGCTGGCAGCCAGAGAAGACATCTGCAACGTGGTGAAGACCAGCAGCGGCTCCAGCAGAGAGAAGACAGTCTGTGCCGTCAACAAGGTTCCAAAATAATCATTTGGTTTTTTTTTTTTCTTATTTTAAAGCAGCCGTGTGAAATAAACAAATGACAACTCCACCTACAGGTACGGATGGGAAGAGTCCCTGACCGAGGAGGACGACCTTCTGAGATAGAAGCGCCGCCTCCTGAGATGCCCCCATGGCAAAAGAGACAAGATGGTGGAGGTGGTGGCTGGGGAGGAAGAGGAGGAGGTGGAAGAGGAAGAGGAGGAAGAGGAGGAGGCAGCTCGGGTCGTGGAAATAGTGGTCACTGGGGAAGAGGAGGAGGAGGAGCAGGAGGAGGAGGCAGCTGGGGACATGGAGGAGGTGATGGTAGAGACGGTTGGAGGGGAGGTGGGAGGAACCAAGGAGGATATGGTGGAAACGGTGGAGGCTACGGCGGTCAGAGTGGACACGGAGGGAAGAGAGGGAGATACCAGTATTAACTCCTCAACTCCATCTGGACGATTTATAATACACTTTTTAAATTCAGTGTATAATTAGTCAGAGTGTGTGTGTGTGTGTGAGAGAGAGAGAGAGAGAGGGAGAAATACCTGGTTTAAAACTTTAGGTATTTGTTTTGAACCTAACTGAGATAAAGGACTGAATGTTTGGGTTTTGACATTTTTGGAAATGTAAACAGCAGACTTTTTAACTGACCTTCATCATAGTGAACTTCACTTTGTACCTGAAGATCCTGACGTTTAAATATGAATTAAATAAAGAACATCTTTTTAAAAAAGGAACTCAAACAATATCTTGGATTTTGCCTTTTTTGTCTTCCCAATAAAAAATACCAACAGAAGGCAGTTTTAAAACATTTACAGATGTCGCCCCCTGGTGGCCTCGAGTGTTTTTACATTTTTAAAACCAGTTTTATACAACATGGACATGATCCATGCAAAAACAGATCGTCACACACCTCTGTTTCCTTTATCCTGGAAAAACAAATAAAGGGTTTGTCTTGATAGACAAATAAAGGGTTTGTTTTGAGGTCAGTTCGGATGAGTGTTGTCCATCTGAACATCCAGAGACAGAACTTATGACTGAGACTAAATTCAGTTCAGAGGTCAGCAGCATGACCAGGAGCCACAACAGGTGACTGTCATCAGGGTGAAGAGGAAACACCTGGGCTGTGCAAACGTTCACCGTATTTCATCGGAAAACCAGGTCAGAACAACTTCCTTAAATAGTTGGGTCTGTTTCAAGGAAATCCGAAATTTCTTACTTACAACGAAGAAAAGGACTAAAAAAAGCCACTCGAAGTCGAACATCCACCTTCTGTATCTTATCCCGCTTTCACTCTTTTCATTTATGCAAAAAAAATAGTTGTTTTTGCCAGCTTTCTGGAATACAGCAATACGTTTGGCATGGTTGTTAGGCAGTATAGCCGCTAGAGGACAGTGTTGGATTTAGATTTTTTTTTCCCGGTCAGACGTCAGTTTCTAGGACAACAACAAACATGGCGACGACGGAGGAGGTCGTGACAATGTTCCCGCTGAGAGAGGTAGGCAGATTAACAGACGGCAGTGGTCGGTGTGGTTATTAAATACAACACGGTACGTTAACGGAGAACTCTCCTCCTCGGTTCAGCCATTTTTGTTGTTGTTTTATGCTAATCTCTATACTCCACTGCTCAACAACGCCCCCATGACATCCAGACAAGTATTTATTTATTGTTGTAAGTATTTTCTACACTTGGCCAATACGTATTTTATTTGTTCAAGATAGATACAGTTTGTACAGTGACATGATTTTTATATCCAATTTACAAGATTACAAACAGTCATTAATGGACTGAAGTTACACCTCAACAACAACAAAAAAGCATTAATTTCAGTCTCCACTCAACAGTCAGTGTGTTTGAACAACCAACAAAAATGTTAAGTAAACAAAAGCAAAATGCTGTGGTTCAAGAAAATAACTTGATTTCTTTTCCTCCAGTTTAAGAAAAAACGGGAATGAAATTATACTCAACATTTCACCCATGACCGAACATATTACAGATTTCTGCAATATTAAATTCAATTTTCATGCAACACATTCTCAGACACAGTTGTTAAAATAAATTATTAGATTTTACATCATAAGGAAGTAATAAAATAGTTATAAATTAATATATATAAAATAGTATCTGTATCAAAAATCTGAACTTCCTCGCACAAAAAAACAACTGTAGATTTATCTTCAATGCAGCAGAACATTGGTTTAATATTTACAGCAGAATTCTACAAAAAGTGCTGACATTTTTCAAGCAAAAACGTATGAAAACAACAATGTAATACTGTCAAAGGCAGGTTTTAGTGTCTTCATGCTCCTTCAGGGGGCACTGCGTCGTCTTTTTTGTAAATACATCCATCCGTCCATCCATCATCCTTTCTGTGGCCCTGCTTGATTTAATACTTGGCCTATGAGGTCACTCAGAGACCCAGACTCCTGCAGGTCCAGCGTCACAGTGGTTTTTAGGTTCCACCCTGACCATAGAACCGAGGCCTGAGCTCAGATCAGCCTGGAGTTCCGCAGGTACTGGATGAGGACTTTGTAGACAAAGTTGTACTGGGACAGGGTCTGGACCATCATCATCCTCTGAGTACGGAGCTTGAACAGAACCTCAGGGACGTTCAGAGGCTGCAGCAGACCAGAGACGGAGAGAACGTTAGCGAAAGAGAGAGAGAGAGAGAGAGAAGGGTGAGGATCGGACAGATCAGAGAGAAGACGTTACCTCGTTGTGTTCTAAACAGGCGATCAATATCTCTGATAAGATGACCACTCCGGTTCGACCCACTCCAGCGCTGCAGTGGACCAGAACAGGTAGGTTAGTGTTCTTTGGGTCGCTGATGCTGTTGGTGTGTCTCCTCACAGACTGGACCTCCTCCAGGTACGCTGAAGGAAATGAGAGAAGACAGCGATCAACGGTGTTTTCTATGGACTGGGGCCGTCAGACATTTACCATTTTTACTTTCATTCATCGTGATTGATTCAATAGTGTAGCAGTTATCATGCCTGCCTTACACATCTGCCTTACACATAGAGGGTCTTGGGTTCGAGGCCCAGTGGAACCACATTGCTGGTTTGCTTATCTTAGTATGAGACACGAAGCTGAAGTCACCTCAGTTGTATTGACATGTTGACTGAACCTGGCCCAACGTGAAGCGAGAACCTTCAGATGTGGTGGATTCACGTCACAAACTGATAAACTACAGTCAAACTAAACCAAATCTCTGAGGAATATTTGCTGCGTCTTCTACATCAACCAGTCATGTGGAACGGTGTATAGGGAGAGAAAGGATGTTTTTAAATTATTTAATTCAGTGTTTTTTCATCCTTGGGGTCGCAACCCCATTGGAGTCGCATTAAAATTCAAATGGGATCGCCTGAAATGTTGAGTAATTTATAAAAAAAAAATACTGATGAAAATAACTATTAAAAAAAATTATAATTAAATTATCACACACAATCTTAAACAATGGTATTCTTTCACTTTCATGAATATAAATCAAGTTCAAATGCAGCATAAAATCTTGATCAACCATCAGTCTCATCTTGATTTATGGCTGCGATCACATAACGGGGTCACCAGAAATTTGTAATGTTAAAATGGGGTCACAATCTAAAAATGGTTAGGAACCAGTGATTTACTTCCTCAGTTACTCACTGAGGAATCCTTTTAAGTCCTCAGGACAGCCGTGGTCAGGCCAGTCGGTGTACTGCAGGTGCCACATCGTCCTCTCCCGACCCATCAGGAGGTGTTTGATCTTTAGCCCCGTTGTAGCGTAGCAGCCTGACTCTGTGCGGAAACGGGTCGTGATTTTGAAGTGCCCGTACGTCACGGTGTTGTGTCTTGAGCCGAGCCGCGGCCAGTACCTGAAACACTTCTCTCGGCCGTTCTCCTGCAGCAGGAGGAGGAGACGGAAGAAAAGGACGAGTCATATAAAGAAGAAAACAACGTCCAAGCTGTGACATGAACTTCAACTGACCTCCTCAGCTGTAACCATGGCAATGATGGAGACGCCCTGCTCCCACACCATCTGCCAGAAGTCCTGACACGTGTTGGACATTGGACCCTGTGAGGCAATGTAGCTCCACTCCTGACCAGACACTGTGATCTGATGACACAGAAGACAAAGACTGGTAAAAAAAAAGGCTTGATTTAGTTGGACAAATGATTAAAATGTGTGGATTAGATTTCTTTTCTGCCAAACAAAGCCAGTCTGAGGTGAAAAGGTAATGAAGCAAAGACATCTGTAAATGTAATTATGTAATTAGACCAAGTCCATCAAGACTAGAATAAAGAAAAAGTCCTGACAAAATGATGTCTCTTCCTGTTGTCATCAGCAGTGACTCTACACACAGTGGAAGGAAAACGACGCCATTGAACAAATATGTGATACGTGACAATATTACTCTGATGACATGACCACACTACTCACTCTGACATGGGACGCGTTGATGTATCCTGTGTTGTTCTCTTTGGTGGGAACCAGCTCCACTCGGTTGCTGTCATAGGGCAGGACGTCCTGGAAGCGGTTTTTGTCTCCACTCTCTGGCAGCATGGCGATGGAGAATTTTCCTCCAGGACGCTTTGGGATATTCTCGTATTCGCTGAGAAGCTCCCCTCCGTCCATGTGCTGCTCCAGCAGCTTACACTGAGGCACAGGAGGTAAATTCATCAACCATCCCAGGTGTAAATGTGGTGTGACAGCCGTGAAACAAAACGTGTGTTTGTATTGAACCGTTCGATGCTGTGGTCTCGGTTCGGTGCACGCTATGAATCGAACAAAACGCAGTTTTATTTCTTCAACTGCTGACAATACACTGTGCTGAAAACTCAGTGGCTCTGCACTCGACTACTCCACCTTAGGCTGCATTGTTGAGGGCAGATCCACTAAGCTGTGCCTTCAACAGTCCTTTACACAATGGTGTTACATGCGAAACTAGCTCGTTGCCACAAGGCTAATGGAGATTGTTTAAGATTCATTGCGATGTGAGATATAAAAATTAAATTATGAGTCATAAATGTTCAGAAATGATTATTTTCCATAACTAAATGACAGGAACACAACCAAACAAACAAACCGAACACAAAGATTTTTAAGGTGATATGTCCAGAAACCTTTAAGAATCTTCAAGGTGTCTGAACATGCCACCTGTGGTCTGTTCGTTAATAAGGGACGGACCTGGTTCTGTTCATTGAAGATTTTGTTTTGATATCTCTATTTGTTATTACTGAGTAAGCTAGCTCTTGTTTATATATATATAAAAGCTGAGCTTCTCTGACCAAGAAGTCTCAGCCCAACCCGTTAAGCACTCAAACCCATATCTCCGATCTTTGGACTCTGGCAACTGGGTAAACATTAGGCTACAATAAAAACAGATAGAGAGTTTTGCATGGTCCAACAAAGGTTCATAAACTGGGAACACTGGTAATAAATGTTTACACGCCTAGTGAAAGGTCGGTATCAGGAGATATTGACACAAACACGGTCACAAAGTCACGGGTCAAATATAATATTGAAAAATTCCCTGCAATCGTGCATGTTTTCCCTTATCTCCGCGTAATGTATATATTTTTTTTCATATTTAAACTAACCTTAGTTTTGCATAATCACTGAATCTGGAACCACCAAAGCTTAATATCATAAACATATGAGAAATTAAATTTGAAATAAGACACACATGCGTGGTATGTGTTTGTTATTATATCTCTATCATTACTTTTTAATGTAAAACAACAAACTTATAGGATATGATGCCGGGACAGCTCTGATACACATTTGATATGATCTCACGGGCCAAATTATATTTACACCATGGGCAAGATTTGGCCCACAGGCCTGAGTTTGACACTTGTGATGTACATCATATAAAATGTCCATAACTTCATTCGTAATTTCACTTTTACTTTCTATTACTGTAGTATTAGCTGCCAGTATGGTCTTGCGTTGGGATACAGTCGATTTTTAAGGCATAACTGAAAGCTCAAGGTTATTGTTTATGGATATAAATGTTAACAGGTGTAGCTGTGTTCACGGAAAGAACATTGTTTCTCTCTCTCATGCATCCACCAGAACAAGTCCTCACTGGCTGGAGGTAACTAATACCAACAAACCAAGGTAACAGGCCTGGTAACAGGCTCAGTCAGGGTTACTCAGTAACACAACACAAAAGCAAAATAAGTCCATGGAAAAACCTCCGTGGAAAAACCTCCGTGTTCTTATCATAAAGATAATTTTTCTACCAGTGTCATTGACAAAGAAAACCCGTCGTCTCACCCTCTCGTCGTTGGAGGCTTGTTCAGGTTCATCCTTGATCTCGTCAAACATGGGCTGCCTGGACACAGACAGGCCGTTGAGCTTCGCCACCTTGAGTGGACCCATCTTCTTCACCTCTGACCTCACTCCTTTCTTCATGCCCTGGTTTGACAACACAAAAAGTCAGAGTGAAGGTCTGAACCCTGGCAGAGAGATTAAGTGGGAGAGATGGGAGGGACCACAACAGGCTGCTGGCTGCCTTACACAGAATGTCACTCGTCTGGTTTCCCCAGTCAGAGCGACTTCAGTCTTTCATAAGGTGTCACAGTCAGGTGTGTGTGTGTGTGTCAACGCCTCAAATGTTTTGTATACACATACTTTTGTTGTCATGGTCTTGTCAGTTAGAAACCTGAAGGTATTAATTTAAAAGAAAAATCACTTTCCGAAAATGAAACAAGGCTGTTGTGATTCTTCCCACACAGGAAGATTTAGCTGCTGTGCAGGAGACAGATACCGATCTAAACTTAAGGAAACGGTTAACATACTGTGTCTCAATACTTTAAAATTTGTATTATTTTTGGAAACAAAAAGTTTTAAAAATCAGCAAATCCATACAAAGGTTTTTCATTAAAAATATTTAAATAAATATAGAGGAATAGTTTGAATAATATTTGTGGTCAAATATTAAATTGCATTTTGGGAGAGTATGAAAGTTCAATAGACCTCAGAAGACGCTCCTCCTCCTTCAACATTCATTAATATATTTATCTGTTACTGCCTTATTAAAGGAGATGGTTCCAGTCCCAGCAGTCATTGGGCAAGGCAGTGCACTAGTGTAATCACATGGTCAAGAGTTCTTTAACTGTTCCGTCTGCCACTGTCACTTACAGCAACAAAGGCAAATTATTTGCAGTGAATAACTAATACTTTTCAGACCCATTAAGTGAAACTGGATAATTTCCCATGGTTCACCCAATGACCTCTCACGGCACACTGGGACACGGTCGTTGGGAATCACTGTGCTGAATGATTGACAGTTTATAATCCATTCATTTACAGCTACTTAAACAGGACCAGTGTTTTCTGTGCAGTGACATATTGTGGCAGCATTCCAGGTGTAACACAAAGGACATGTTTAAAGAGAGTTTAACTTAATTACAGCTGTATCGTCACCACATCAATGGCTGACGTGGGTTAAATGGAGGTGATTAAGAGAAAGACTCACTGGTGGAGGCAGACCTTCCACCAGTGTTGAAGAAACCTCTCAGCAGTGAACAGTGTGGTTTCAGTGAAGTCACAGGAGTCATGGTTTATAAACAACAGAGTTTGGCCCAGACCACACAGTGATCCCACAAAAACCAAGAGTTTCCCCACAAACAAAACAACAACATTCACTCGCTGCTGTCTGGAAACCAAACGAGCTGAGAGGCAGCAGCTGCATTTATAACCTTCAGACGACTCGTCTTCATCAGCTGGGACAGAGACGCAGGTGGAGCTGATGTTTCCTCAGCTGCAGCTCGTCATCGTCAGCAGCAACAGGTCAGTGAAAGAGACTGATGTGTTAAATCACTGCCATCATTGTGAAACCATCAGAAATGCTCTTTGTTGATTTGTGGTCAGGTTTTATTCTTAATTTAAGTCAAAGTAATTTTTTTTTACAACTAGGAACATGTATTTAATTCACATAATTTACATATGTGACAACATACTATTTTCCTTTTCTGGATTAACTACATTCATCGGTTAAAAACTTTAAAATAAATAAAATTGCAACTCCAAATGGATCCGGCTTTGACCAAGTCCTACCATGAGGCTGCAATGATTGCACAAAAAAGTGACCAGTATTTGACAAATATTTATTTGTGGTGGTAAATATTTCCTACACTTGTAATTATCCCATACTTACATTTTTTGTTTAATAGATACAGTTTATACAGTTTGTACAGTGACCAGAATTAATTAAAGCTGATTTTTACATCCAATTTACAAGTTTACAAACAGCTGTCAATGGACTGAAGTCACACCTCAACAAAAAACATTTCAGTCTTCACTCAATAAGACTTAGTGTGTTTGCACAACCAACAAAAATATCAAGCAAACAAAAGCAAAACACTGGGTTTGAAGGAAGTAACTTCTTCAGATGCAGATTGTGATTTCTCTTCCTCCAGTTTAAGAAAAAACAATCTGACATTTTATTCAATATTTGACCTATTACTGAAAATATTACACATTTCTTCAATATTCATTTCATTTTTTGCTGCACATTCTCAGACACAGTAGTTAAAATGACTGATTTGATTTGACATAAAGTAATAAAATACTTACAAAAATTAATTTACCCCCCACCCCTCAAAACTAAAGAAAAAAGAAATAATTCTCTTTCTTCATTTGTCAGCTTTAGATTCATCAAACCTGCATTCTTCACTTCTGTCAACTTCCAGCAGGGGGTGTGTTACAGGGAAATAAAGCCTTTGGCGATCTTTAAGTGCAGGAAACTTCATTTAACTACATTACCTGTTCTCTTGGCTCCTTAAATCACAATCTGTGTTCACTTCACTAAAATAAAATAAAAAAATCAGAAATCTGAACTTCCTTCCACAAAAATGTTTCCTTAGGCCGAAGACAAATCAACCAACTGTAGATTTATCTTCAATGCAGCAGAACATTGGTTTAATATTTACAGCAGAATTCTACAAAAAGTGCTGACATTTTTCAAGCAAAAACGTATGAAAACAACAATGTAATACTGTCAAAGGCAGGTTTTAGTGTCTTCATGCTCCTTCAGGGGGCACTGCGTCGTCTTTTTTGTAAATACATCCATCCATCCATCCATCATCCTTTCTGTGGCCCTGCTTGATTTAATACTTGGCCTATGAGGTCACTCAGAGACCCAGACCTGACCATAGAACCGAGGCCTGAGCTCAGATCAGCCTGGAGTTCCGCAGGTACTGGATGAGGACTTTGTAGACAAAGTTGTACTGGGACGGGGTCTGGACCATCATCATCCTCTGAGTACGGAGCTTGAACAGAACCTCAGGGACGTTCAGAGGCTGCAGCAGACCAGAGACGGAGAGAACGTTAGCGAAAGAGAGAGAGAGAGAGAGAGAAGGGTGAGGATCGGACAGATCAGAGAGAAGACGTTACCTCGTTGTGTTCTAAACAGGCGATCAATATCTCTGATAAGATGACCACTCCGGTTCGACCCACTCCAGCGCTGCAGTGGACCAGAACAGGTAGGTTAGTGTTCTTTGGGTCGCTGATGCTGTTGGTGTGTCTCCTCACAGACTGGACCTCCTCCAGGTACGCTGAAGGAAATGAGAGAAGACAGCGATCAACGGTGTTTTCTATGGACTGGGGCCGTCAGACATTTACCATTTTTACTTTCATTCATCGTGATTGAGTGTAGAAAATTAAGATAAATCAAATGGTGGGACTGAAATCATTAGCAGACTTGGTGGGAGTAAAAGTCTAACACTGTAGACCTCCCACCACAGAGCAAAAACCAAATCCACAATTTATAATAGTCAATCTAACACTTCCTGTTTTCTTACAGTAGTAAAGTTACTCACATTACTCAATGTATGTCTAACAAATCCATTCATTCCTTCTCATGCTGGTTCTTCTATGTCATATATATAAAAAACCTAACCTATACTAACCTATATATATATATATTTATACATTCATATAAACCAGGCATGGGCAAACTTTTCAAACCAGGCTAAAAATGCTAAAATGCTATTTCTATGCCATCTATTGGGGAAATGCAGGTATTGCAGATGAAAGGCAGAAATATAATGAAAATAGAATATTATATAGAATATAATAACGTATATAATAATAACATTATTTGGACAAGTTCGACGGGCCGGATTAACAAGTCAAACAGGCCTCAACCGGCCCTCGGGCCGTAGGTTGCCCATGCCTGGTTTGACCAGTATTTCCATTTTTCAATACCAGAAATGTTATATTGAGAGTACAGCCTGCTCTTTTACCATAAATAAAAGCAGTCTTTTTTCAGATTATTATTTATTTCCTCAGTTACTCACTGAGGAATCCTTTTAAGTCCTCAGGACAGCCGTGGTCAGGCCAGTCGGTGTACTGCAGGTGCCACACCGTCCTCTCCTGACCCATCAGGAGGTGTTTGATCTTTAGCCCCGTTGTAGCGTAGCAGCCTGACTCTGTGCGGAAACGGGTCGTGATTTTGAAGCGCCCGTACGTCACAGTATTGTGTCTTGAGCCGAGCCGCGGCCAGTACCGGAAGCTCTTCTCTCGGCCGTTCTCCTGCAGCAGGAGGAGGAGACGGAAGAAAAGGACGAGTCATATACCGAAGAAAACAACGTCCAAGCTGTGACGTGAACTTCAACTGACCTCCTCAGCTGTAACCATGGCAATGATGGAGACGCCCTGCTCCCACACCATCTGCCAGAAGTCCTGACACGTGTTGGACATTGGACCCTGTGAGGCAATGTAGCTCCACTCCTGACCAGACACTGTGATCTGATGACACAGAAGACAAAGACTGGTAAAAAAAAGGCTTGATTTAGTTGGACAAATGATTAAAATGTGTGGATTAGATTTCTTTTCTGCCAAACAAAGCCAGTCTGAGGTGAAAAGGTAATGAAGCAAAGACATCTGTAAATGTAATTATGTAATTAGACCAAGTCCATCAAGACTAGAATAAAGAAAAAGTCCTGACAAAATGATGTCTCTTCCTGTTGTCATCAGCAGTGACTCTACACACAGTGGAAGGAAAACGACGCCATTGAACAAATATGTGATACGTGACAATATTACTCTGATGACATGACCACACTACTCACTCTGACATGGGACGCGTTGATGTATCCTGTGTTGTTCTCTTTGGTGGGAACCAGCTCCACTCGGTTGCTGTCATAGGGCAGGACGTCCTGGAAGCGGTTTTTGTCTCCACTCTCTGGCAGCATGGCGATGGAGAATTCCCCTCCAGGACGCTTTGGGATTTTCTCGTACTCTCTGAGAAGCTCCCCTCTGTCCATGTGCTGCTCCAGCAGCTTACACTGAGGCACAGGAGGTAAATTCATCAACCGTCACCGTTTACGTACCGTCACTTTAAGCCAATCTGTCCCCGCTCAGGAACACAGAATATGTGTAAATGAAGTGTGAAATAGCAGTGGGATGTGGACTGAGGACAGAAAACATTTGTGTGGCCACACGTGTCTTAAGACCACATGGGATGGTGTTTATTTTGAAATGGTGTTAGACCATACTCTAAAAATACTTTTTCTTGTAATGTATGAAAAATGTCAAGTACTAAAATATACATTATATATGTGTGTATATATATATGTATATGTATATATGTATTCAAAAAGATTGGTGACCACTGATATAGATGTTCAGCATTTTTCTACCAGTGTCATTGACAAAGAAAACCCGTGGTCTCACCCTCTCGTCGTTGGAGGCTCGTTCAGGTTCATCCTTGATCTCGTCAAAAATGGGCTGCCTGGAAACAGAAAGGCCGTTGGGCTTCGCCACCTTGAGTGGACCCATCTTCTTCACCTCTGACCTCACTCCTTTCTTCATGCCCTAGTTTAACAACATAAAAAGTCAGAGTGAAGGTCTGAACCCTGGCAGAGAGATTAAGGCCCTGTTAACACAGCGCTGATATGATACGATACAACCGGAATCCCTGTAGTACCTATGCCAGGCCCTTATGTGGCACTATGTCAACCACTACCTATTATACTGTATTACTCATGATGTTCTATTTGTGTTGTAATGAAGGGGTTAACTGTTTAGGTGTGGTGAGAGCTTAGAGAGTGTAGAGTGAGTTGTTGACATCTGTAATAATCAAAAAAAGTTCTTAAGAAGCACCAAGGGATCTGTCCAATCCATTACAGTCCTAACACGGCATGGCTATAAAGCTTGAAAACTGTAAACATAAAAAAAAAACACACAAAAAGGCAGAGATGGATAACTGTAATACACCACGTAACCATATGAGCTTCTCCAGAACCGTGGTTCCTGCCATTGTTGTGGTGTTGAGCAGGGTTACAGGGTTGAAGGGTGATTGTTTCATCTCAATTTGTTCCATTCAAACCAAGACCCAAGCACCAGAGTAAAATCAAGGTAATGCCATGATTTTTTATTAATATATTTTAAACATGTTTTATTAATACTAATATTACTAAACCAAATACAAAAACATAAAGTGGTAACACTATTCAGATTCATTTAGTCCTATGGTACACCAGATGATCTCTCAGAGCTCACTAATGTATTGGGAATCACTGTGCTAAATGATTGACAGCTTATAATCCATTCATTTACAGCTACTTAAACAGGACCAGTGTTTTTTGTGCAGTGACATATTATTGCAGCATTCCAGGTGTAACACATAGGGCAAGTTAAAAAAAAAGAGTATGAACTCAATTTGACCTGCATCATTATCACATTAATGGTGGGTTAAATAAAGGAGGTTAAGAGAAAGACTCACCGGTGGAGGCAAACCTTCTATCGTTTTCTTTCCAGCAAAAACATCTGACACCGGCCTCTTCTTGAACTCTTGTTTAGGCTTCAGTTTGACCTGACCACTCAGGTCTCCCTCTGAGACCGAGGGCATGATCCTGGGCTGTCGTAGCTCAGACAGCAGGTACAGAGGTTCCGTATCCTGGATGAGAGGGTGAATCTTGTACGTCAGAGAGCCAGTTACTGAAGGGCTGAGAGAGGAGCCAATAGGATATGCAGGAGGAGGCTCTACGGGAGTCTGCTGCTGAGACAGTAAAGAGGAGAGGGAGGTCATGCTAGGGTGCTGTTGAGGCATCTGCTCAGGAACAATGGCTGCAATGGCATCCTGGGACAGCGGAGTGTGACGTCCACTGTCGTCCTCAAAGTACTCTTCATCATCGCTGCTGTGAACCAGCATGGTGGCATCCGAAAGGGACTTTTTGTGTCCGTAATGTGCGTCTTCCTTAATGTCCCCCCGTTCTTCAGTCTTTGCTCGCTCTAAGACCATGTTGAGCTGTGAGCCATGAGAGCGTCCACCACGCATCACCGGTGGAGGAGTTTCGATTTCTGCTGCCGAAGAAGAAGAAACAGTCCGCTCCTTGACCCTCATTGCCTCGATACTATGAGTCAGTCCGGCAATTTCTATGGAGTTACGTTTTTGAGCACTGTATGGGTGTCTGTGTAGGGGTCCGCTGTAAAGAGGCTCTGAAACCTCCTGCAAAGAGTGGGCTACAGGGAGACTGTCTTCTTGGAAAGTCTGAACTGAGTGGTGCACTCGTCTGGTGATCAGGTCTGGGTTGCTGCTGCTGACATACAGGTGACGTGACAGGTCAGGTGTGCTGTTTGCAGGGCGAGGATGGGCGTATGGGTAAGGTGGAGGTGGACGGTACACTTGGGTTTTCATAATATTTGGGGCAGGATACTCTTGAGCTTGTTGTAACTGGACATTTGTCAGTTCAGGGACACTAACGGCTCCAACCACCGGCCTCCTCTCTGTCGGATAGGGGTAAGGAGACGGACTGTGAAAGCTGGAGCCCAGGTGGAAAGGATAATGATGGTGTTGGGCGGCTCCGCCACCGTGTTCCCCCCTTATTTCTGGCTGGCTGTAAACTAAAGGGTCTGGTCTACTGTAGGCGTAAGAGTTCCCAATATTCAGATTCCTCATTGAGTGGCTCTGCCGATGCTCCTGAGAGAACATCATCCCTCCTCCTCCACCCCCTCCTCCACCTCCTACTACCCTGGTCTTCTGACGTATTACTGTCTCATAATCTGGAGTGTTACGGTAAGAAGGTGGGATGAGAGCGCTGTGCCGGTGAGAGGGGACGTAGTCCGGTCTGGTGATGTCACTGGTGATGGAGGGATTTGAGGACATGGGCGAAGGCTGGAGGTAGTGTTGAGGATTAGTTAGAGAGCTGGTGCTGTGGGCGCTGTAGACACTGCCGTTACGTAATCGCCCTCCACTGTTGTATTCAAAAGGAGGGCAATCCAAGCTGGTCTGTGAGTGGTAGTAATAACCATTCTGACTGTTTATGTACAGGTTGTCTGTGAAAGGTAAGAAGAATAAATAAAATAAATTAAAAGCAGTCATTGACAGTCTCTTTTTGCTGAAGACAACAAACAGTCTCTTTTAAAACACAAAGGCCCATGAAAACAACCTCCTTTACATTCACTACAGTTACCTTGTGACGATGTGTAAGGTTCTGTGAAATGGCCATTGTAGTGCATCTGTGGAGGAGGCATCATGTAGGCCGGAGGCTTTGGCTGCAAGACAAAAAATATTTTTTCCAGCCATTCGTATATAATCCAAAAATTCTCCAAGAAACAAAGAATATTGTCTTCTTTAACAACCGTGTGTCACAGGCTCAATGCTCAACTACTGATACAAGCCAATGGTAAAAGGTGTGTATATTGTGTAAGCATGGACGTTACCAAGGATATTCTAGTGGAGGACCTTCTTCTGACTGGGTTTACAACTGTGGGCTGGGTTTGCCTGGAGAAAGAAAGATGTGTCAAGAAAAGGTGACACACACCAACACGTGTTGAATTTATAGACCCAAGGACTGGTCGTTATTTATTTATAAATTTATAAACATTGTATTTGATTACACTGGACCGGTCTACAGAAAAAAAAGCAATATTTTATTATTGACATTGGTGTATGAACTTAGATGATGATACAAACAACAGAGAGAAAGCTTTGGACACAGAAATATAAAGAAACTTAATGTAGGTTTAAGACCTTTTCTAATAAGTGCATGTTTGTTTCATTTTTTAGAGAAACCACAAATGTTAAGGTGGCTCTGACAGCTGCTTGACAGACACTGTACTGTAGGTGGTGATGATTTGGGTTGCTCACCCCTTATCAGGAGAAGGCAGAGAGGAACGAGAAAGTATTGGAAAGCGAGGAAAGGATAGATTTAGAATGAACTTCTGGGAACCCTCAGTAGGTAGGGGGTCACACTCCTCTCTGAAGTGAGAGGAGTAGAAGAGCGGAGGAAAGAAGTGAGGTGAAACCAGCGAGGAGACACACGAGAGTGACAACAGAAAGAAACTGGACGAGGTGTGTTAAAGAAAAAAAGAAAAACACTTACAGGTTACTCTTGTTATTCCTATAAAACTTGTGTCTGGCCAGACACATTCGACACACGTATTTGGAGGTTTCCATGTCTTCCTAGGAAAAAGTAGAAAAGGCAAAAAAAAATGATTTGAGGCTTGTAAACAGTGTGTTTTGTCACATATAGTCTATGCAGGTTTTCTGTTCAAGCAGTCTAAATTGTATTCTCAATAAAATCTTGCACATATCATAGTCAAATAGTGGCCTGTGGGCCACATACTGTGACTCTACGACCCATTTATAGTCACACAACACACAGGTGCATCGTTAAGAATAGCTGATGCTAATCATCATCACATTGACCAAATCCATATTTGCTCAATCCATTTAGAGATCACAATATCCATGATTAAGATGATGAGGGCAGAGACAGTATGATGGTAACAGAGACTTACAGTCTGGAACTGAACACTCTCCTCTCTGTTTGTTAGCTCCAGGGCAAAGAAGGACCTGTTGTGACTCATGTTGTTAATTTCGTTCCACCTACACAGCCAAATTAAAGCACAAAGAGTCACAGAGGAA